TCTCTCTCCTTCTCCCTCTCTCTCTCTCTCTCCCTCCCTCTCTCTCTCTCTCTCTCTCTCTCTCTCTCTCTCTCTCTCTCTCTCTCGCTGGCTCAACGTTTTTATGTCCTTTTAAAAACACATTTTAGTGCGGATTTTATTCAGACACTTTGATTAAAAGCGCAAACAAAATAAAGTAAATTTGCAGTTTCCAAAGGCACCCAAGCTTTGAAAGTCACCGAAACTTAGGCGGCCTTTTGCTCACTAATATTTTAGGAATATACAATAACTTCTGGTTATGTCCCAACATTACGCGTCGACACATGTTATGTTTTATTTTACTGTATCGTATTTCTCTCTTTTCTTCTTTTCTGCCCTCTTTCTGTTTTCTGTACCTTAAGCACTTGGCCAAGTGTTTCGCCAATGAACAACTTATTTAAGTCAAGAAGGGTGAACCAGTGTCATCCAATCTTTGCATAGCAGTTTATATCAATTTGTCTTAAATAAATCATATCTTTCTAGAACAATTGGGGCTAGATCTAGGCTAAGGCCTAGGGCTAGAATTAACACCCTACCTAAAATGTAAGTTATTTTAGAAGCCGAAAACTCGTCCCCAGTCAGGAGATGGGATAAAGTGGAAAATAATACATGTATTCTAAGAAGGACTAAAACAGTACGTGTATTTTGAATTAAAAAACAATCGAATTTCAGATTGCCTCATTGGGGGTTCAAACCAAGGCCATCAACTCCGTCATCCAGCATGATGCCAGCTCAGACATCTGATTGACTTGTCTAATCTGTAATGGTTTGCACCACAGCTATTAGCTGAAGGATGTTAAGTAATGAGACAAAATTATGACAATTATAAGAACACTCCCATCTCGCACCTTTTCTCTCTCCGTATCTCCAGGGGCATTAGATTAGAGCTGAAACTAGGACTTCCGGATGACGTAATGGCAGCCACAGCTGGATTTGGGCGTGATGTTTCCATGGAGACCACTGATGAGTGTACACACGAGGAGACCATTACTTGGACTATCAATAGTAGCATCAAAGTATGTGCATGCATATGTGTATGTGTGTGTGTATGTGTGTGTATGTGTGTGTGTGTATGTGCGACTGCGCATGTGTGTATGTGTGTGTGTATGTATGTGTGTGTGTGTGTGTGTGT